ATGGCTCAGACTCTCTCTCAGGCGCACAGATAAAGGTGAGAGTTGACATTCAAGTCAGGCAACCACTAATTTACCTTTCACACACTGTCACCACAGGGTGCCTGCATGAACGCACACACGCATGCAAGCACGCATGCACACACACAGCATTAACCTGTGAATGTAGTACAGCAGCTGAATACGAATACTCTGACAGGTGTAGGTGAATTATGTATAATGAAACCTTCGGTCACAGACGAAGCTTTTAACACAGACCCAAAAGGCCTGATGACAGCCGTACATTATGATGATGACTCATCATTTAGCCTTGAGCAGAGTGTAAGACCTAGTTTTATGACTTTGCCACCATAGGGGGCACCACTTTAAAATGCTGTAGGCAATATCATGTGTCAAAACATTTAAAGTATGTCTGAGCATATTCCCCTGCCCATTAACCCAAATAACCATAAAAGTATAACCATCAATAATCCACCTGTCACACAGTGGCGGTGCTGATGTAATGTGCCCCTGCTGATCATTCCTGTTGTTCCTGCAAACAGCATTAATATTCATTCTTCATACATCACACTGGAAACCACAAATGACTTATGCTGCAGAAAACTTAATTTGTAGGTTTCACATCTTGAGTCTGATATTACCGTGTGACAAGTGGAAGTGCTCAATTGCCAAAACAACCACGGTAGATGCTTTGAGTAAATGGCAAAAGGCAAAGATTGCAGAGTTCAGGTGAACCTGATACATTGGAGAAAAGCCTATAGAGTGTGTCACAAGGGATAGTTCTGTTTGAAAGGTCTCTGGCTTTTTATTTTGTCTTAAAAGTAAAGGTAACAGTGAAATAAATTATGGGGGAAGAGATGAAAGCTTCATGCAGGAGTTTAACCCAGAATGTCACAAAGTGTTATTTTTTACCTGATTTTATACACATTTTGAGTTTAAATGTCAAAATTTTAAAGAAAAAAAAAGCCTTCAAAACATTGCAAAACTGTTTTTGTATCGATAAAAGCAAAATGCAAAGTGCAATGAAAGCAGCCTTCGTGAATAAATCATGATGTGCTATATGTGAGGCATGAGAGGAGACTAAAATTAGCAGACAAAAACATCAGATCTGTGTGCACCGATGGGGGAACTGTAACTGTGCCTAAATCCATTTTGTATCTTTTCTAATTGAGAAAAAAAAGTAGGCTTTGCACTTTACTCTATAGCGAGTCAAAATACTGCATGTTGGCACCTAAGCCCACAAACTCTACCCACTCTCCACAGATCCAAAAATGTCATTCAGTCAGGAACACTTTAGTCAAAGAAAACTTTATTCCATTTGCAGTTTTATTTTTGGCGGTGTGGCTCTGTTCTGGGGCCTCTGCCTTTTCTAGACCTACGTAGAAAGCCTCCTCCATACACCTATGTGGAGAGCCTTAAGGCAAAGAGAGCACACCTCTCTGCCCTTCCACATGCAAACAAGGAAAGCCTGAGGCAGAGAGAGCAAACCTCTCTGCCCTTCCATGCGCCTACATGGAAAGCCTGAGGCAGGGAGAGCAGCAGCAAAGCACCCACAGGAACAGAACAGAGCAGCATCAATGACAAACAGAAATGATACTGATAAATCAGACACAGCATTAAAAGGAGGAGCTGGGGTGGAGGCAGGTTGCAAAGCAGCTTGCAGAGGAAGCAGCAACAGTAGGCAGGCCAGAGCAGTTTAAATAGGGTGCCCTGAATGAGATTCGCCAATTGGTTGCATAGAAAAGAATCATGTGATCTATCAGCTGACTCCCTTCCAGCAATTAGCTGCTACATCAGTTGACTGGCTGTTTGAGATCAGCTGATGTAGCTGGGATGTGAGCTGAGCTTGACATCGTGTCCTGCCTGAACTAACGCCATGCTCAGTTTTTACTGAGTCGACTTAAGTCAAAAACAAAAAAGCAGGAGTCTAAAGCCAGCTGTCTTCCACCTATTCAATGACAAGCTTTAAAAACCACAAAGTGCTGCTACTTCTAGCACCATCGCCACCACCATCACTTTGACTACTGACATCAACACCTTCAACAGGATCATTAGTGGCCACAGCATAATTACATTACATAATTATTAGTCATTAAGACCATCCCCTGCAATTACTATGTTCCCGTCATTCTTACACCTCTGTATACATTCCTCTTTACAAGTCATTGAGATGTCTCTTCCACCTGACTAACACTGATTACAGGTTAGTGATGCTAATACTAAATAGAAATATGCAGAGACAGTAGGTCAGCCCTAAAAAACAGTGAGTAACAGAGAGTTGTAATTCATTAGATGACACAGGCATGCAATCATCACCAGAAAAAAAGAGCAATTAGCATAATGCACACTGTAAAAAAAAACAAAATAAAACAAAACAAAACATCATGGTGGAAAACTGATACAAGTGTTGCTTTCTACTGTAGCTGCAGTGGAACAATGCAGTAGGCTAACATGGCAAACCTTGCTCTCCACCTTCCACCAATTAAGGTGGAAAAATGCTCTGCAAGCATTTGAGGCCTACTGTTTCATTGAACTTTGAAATCCTGTACTTGCACTGCAGCTCCAGTTAAATTTCAGAGCTTATGGGATGTTTCTCTTTCAGTGTACTGACAGCTGCACCAATCACCTCCCTAATGAAAGTGCACTGCTGTAGCACAGAGCGGGAACAGCATGCATGTGAATGTGTGCACAGTGTACGTGTGTGCTGCAGGCGAATGTGTGCGTGCATTTTTACACGTGTCTCTTTTAATTTACCAGAGGCCACAGCCGCACAACATGTTGGGCCACCCAAAAGTGTAACCACATTGACACTATTCTGGGCCAGTGCTACAGCGCTACATGCACAGACTTCCGTCCATAGTGGAGGTTAGCTAGATTAATGTCTGTCCTGGTGTGCACTGCGCCTTTGGGCACAGCTCCACCTCCACTCCTGCCTCCTCAGCCATGGCTGGAAAATATTCATGAATTGGTCACGCTCTATTAGGCTGTCACGGGCTCGGGTGATTAATGAGGCCGGCACATGTGGACGAGCCACCGACAGCAGGCTGCCAACCAACCAACTTACTGTGCAAGCTGACGGGGAGGGGGTGGGGCTGGGTGAGCCGGAGCCAAAGTCGAATGGGTTTCGACTGATGCTACTGCTGAACACGGACCTCTACACACACATGCATGGATGCATACACACACATAAATCCAGGCACACTGCCATTTGCTGCATTTTCTATTGAATGAATGAGGGTCACATGAGAGGGTGCAATCATTACGGCCACGTCATTTCCTGGAATGTCTCCCTCTTTTTGCCAATGTATAATTCCAGTGTGGTTACCACCTCCCCTTTCCTCACCCCAATCACTACATTTCACCTCTGCCACATCTGCCGAATAGCATCCTCTCCTTTGCTCTCCTCTCCTCTCTCATTTCGGACTCCCCTTGGTTCTTTTCTATCTGCCTCTCATCTCCCCTCATTTCATTTCTTTTCATTTCATTTAATTTCCTTTCCAGTCCTCTCTTAGCCCACTCACACAGAGTAAGAACCTCCCCACCAACCTGCACACCCACACACATCCAGAGGGAAGAAGAAAAGTAATGCTAAAATGAGTTTCCTTTCCCCAAACTCACCAATATTAAAGTCAGAGGGTGCCTAAAAGGTTCACTTGTTATCACTATTCTCGCCAGAGCTGTATTAATCAACTCTCAGTGGAATAAATGTCACAGAAACAGGATCTGAGCCCTGAATTGGAAGAATGACTGACAGGTACAGGAACACCTAGAAGGAAAAACAACTAATGACATATTTTTGACTCTTGCAGTTATAATGGATTATGTAGCATGGTTGGGTTAAACTGCAACAAGACATACAGTATTTTTCTTTTAGTCAGTTTAATTAATTCTCTTCCAGCGTCTGCATAACTGGATGGCATCTTTAGCAAGCTGGATAAAAGATGAAAAGAAATTGTTCCAAATAAGCTAGCCTCACATTTGCATTAATTTACTATAACTGACTGCGTAAAAAGCTCTAAAACCCCACAAGGTTTGGTTTAATACACAGAACTTTAAGGGACAAGTCTCGTCTTAAAGGTCATGAATCAAAGGAGACTGCGGAGTAAAGACCAAGAGACAGCTGAAGAGGAAGTTGAAAGGCAGAGGAACTGAGAATTGAGATAGGCGGGGTAGGCAGTTCACAGTGGCTCATTGCCATCTCTAGGCTGTCTGACACATGGGTGATGTCTCAAGCCTATTTCCTTTCTTCAAAGCCTTGCGCTGATTAGGAAAAAGGTTAGCGGGTGCCACTCAGGGTCACGGTGCCTTTGTCTAGGGAGTTGTAATTACTGCTTTCTGGACTGCAAGAGGGTGGGAACAGGCCATGATTTAATCTTCCTCTCTATTTACGAAAATAACTTCCCTTGCTGAGATTTTCGAGCTTTTTTTTAAGGTCAATCAGTTTAGTATCTTTAGAATCTAACGAGTGCCTTTGACAAGGAGGCGGTCAGATCAGTGGTGGATACAGCTGCAAACTCCATCCTCATTCTCTTTTTTTGTCAGTCTTTACGGTGCGTTTTGATCATCAGCCGGCTGTGTTTTAAGAATATACACAGAGTCTTCACAGAGACATCACACTGACATTGAAGGCTGAAGACAGATTATACATCACACAGTACAATGTGCTATATCATTATTCTAATTTGAGGATGACGATGGCGGTGAAAAAGAAAAACAGGATTCCGCAGTAGACATGATTTATTTTGGGATGCAGATGTTGTGCACGTTGCTGTGAGGGAGTTTTAGCTGTGGAGTGCAGCAGCTGCTTCAGAAGGGAGCGTGTCACAGGGTGAGATGTTGATAAGCAATGCATCTCACACAGTCAGCATGCGTGCGGGGGGTTTATGTGTGCAAACACGTGTTAAAGGGTAGCAGACATTAAACAAAAATGTTTGCACTTTGTTGGCAGATTCTCCCCAGGTGTGTGTATGATTGTGTTGTGAGGGTGTGAATGCTGTACTCACAGTCAGCCTGTGCACAGATGAGGCAGGCGGTGGTGCTGTTAAAGAAGGTGAGAAGGCCGGCCACAGCCAGGCTGATGTCGGTGTTAGTTGGCCTCAGGTCCAGAGTGGTAAACCGGGGGAACTGAACCTTCAGAATGTCCTCTGGAGCAACCTTGACATAGGGTACCTGCAGAGAGACGCTGATGTCAGACTACCTGTTGCATTTTAATCATTTGCAGTTGACTGACAGTTCGCATTCATGCTCATGTTTACGAATGCAGCAGACGTCTGCAGACAGGACGACCGTAAAAGAGATCACAACAAGAGAAAATGTGAGTGTGAAGTGCAAAATAAAAATAGCACAATGCAAGCAGACAGCCAGAACAAAGAGTAGCTCGGTAGAAATCGGTTTAATCTGTGATAAATTGCAAGCACGGATAACCCAGGGGTCTGCTGCAATGTGCATATTCAAAACACACATATTTTCAGTGACTGAGGCATTGAAGCTCATGTAAAGTACAAGTATGGATCTAAAAACTTATTTTTGTTCCACCCACAAGAACAAGCCCTTGCTGCAGAAATCTTCAGTATAACACCCCCTCACCCACTGTTACAAAACATTTGTTTACCCGGCTCACTGTGGAGCAGCTCAACTGCATGTTGCAGGTGTCACTTTTGAAACACGCAAAGTATCACAGCATTTCTGACCAAATTACAGGGTATATTTTGGGGATGAATATTAGTGCTGTTAGATTATTGTGCAAGAAAAAAAAACAAGGAGTCATAATCATTGATGTTTATATGATGAAAACACATCTATCACTGTCAGGTGTGTACTCTGAACACTGTTTCATATGTCACAATTGGGTGAATTGGCTTTGTACTCCGGGGCCTGGTTGTTCAGGAGTAATCTGATTGAATTTGGGATTGGATCAAATCTTAAAAATGGGTTGCTTTGAAGAAAAAGATTCTGAAAACAGATGAAGTCTTGTAATCCAGTTTTGGTTTTGATCCGGATCAAACCTTCATTGTGTGTTCAAAACATTTTGGTAGGATCAGGGTCCTCAAGAAGAAGGCTGGATTCAGGGTGGATTTCAGGAACAAAATGTGATAAAACTTTAAAATCGGTCGAATAAATACACAATTATTTACATTTTACACATGATTTCTTTAACTGTTACAGTGATAAAGTAGCTAAAGTGGACACTGGGCCACCTATTCAGCCTTTCAGTAAGGTAATTAAACCATCCATCCAACCATCATTCAACCAACAGACACCAGATAGACTAAGGTCATGAAACTGGCCTCGATGGTGCAGATGTACTTATGCACACTTACATGACTGAGGACTCGAAACTAACTTGACCAGTCAAGATTATTCCACTGTTGGGCCATGAATAAGTACTGTATGTATCCAAATGATTGTTTTCCTGATGCACTGTCCCAAAATTTGGGAACTGTGTGTGACAGATGCTAAATCTATCTACACCAGTAATCCAAAATGGGTGTGGACATCTTTACACACCCTTGCAGCTTTAAGTTAGCATCTTACAGGAACACTACACCTCTTAAAATACTATTGCTATATTAATAACTCACCCCGTGTTATATTGAGTTTGTGAAGAAAAATTTGTTTTTCTCGGATGCCTTTATGATGTACGAAGAATCCAAAAACGGAGAAAACTGTTGATGAATTGAAGTCATAGGGGTCCACATTTAATAACAACAAAACAATATGAAAACATCATTTAACAAACTCTCACACAACTTATGCAGTATAATCCGAGTCTTATTTATCCAGTTGTGTGCTCAGTAATTCCCAAACAGGCAGGCTCTTCTGACGCGGAATTAAAGTAAAAGTAAGACCTAATCTACGCTCTTTTCAATGACAGACTCCACTGACAAACACAGTTTTTGCTTAGAGTTAAAGGGAAAATAAGTTAAGAAAAATATAAAAGATATAAACAGCCAATACATTATGATAACAATAGAGAAAAAAGGGGAATTATTTTTGTCCCACCCTTTGATTATCTGTTTCAGTGATGTGATTCTTAAGATTCTGAAAAGGAATTTTTCATCTTGACTAAGAGACAGTTAAGTGTTTTAAAGAATTAATTTTCTTTCAGAATGTACACTGATCTTTTGATATATATTTGCTGTTGTTAAACATGATCGTCTAGGACTTAGATTCATTAAGAGTTTTCTCTGGTTTTGGATTCTTCATCCACCATAGGTATGATAGAAAAATAACGTTTTCCTCACAAATTCAACATAACAAGGTAATCCTTTAACCTCATAGTCACTGTTAACATTTAATGAATGTATTGAACTAGTCAAAACAATAGAAACTGTATCTCAGTCCAAAAAAGTCAAGAACAGACAACTCTGTACATCTAAAATCCATATCCCCATATGCTCAATAATAAACAACATACTTAAAATTAGACCTCATATATATCGACTGACACGCTGGGGAAAACAACACATTAAAACGCAGAAACATATGTAAAAATGTGCATGTATTGCCAGTAGAGCAAAGATCAAACACAAGAAGTAAGTAAAAGAAAGCCAGCCAAGCCTTCAGTAAGAATCAATAAATACACAATCCTTCTATCCTAGCCCTATTGTGAGGCATACAATCTTCAGTGAGATTGATTGCTGTGTTATCACAACGTAGATTTGCTGTTGCTATATAAATATCTGTATTCCTTAGGCGCCACTAATGAATTTATCATACCGCCCCCACTGCACTAACAGGTATGTCTAGTGCAGGCTTATCTCGGCTGTCGGAGTGGAGGTTAAGTACACTGCAGCTAACCTTGCAGCCTTCAACGTTCCTTGAGCACAGCAACAAATCTGGACCGGAGCCACCCACAAATCTGCTGAACTTCAGAAAAAATCATAAATTTCATTCCATCCCAATTCAAACATGTCTGCCATCTATTTATCTCCAATGAAATCCATCTCTGCTTCAGTTCTCCATGTGATGATGTGAACCGATACATGCTGCCAGGGCTTACAGTGAGGCCTGGGAGGAGGAGAAGCGGGGAGAGAGTGCGAATGAGTGTGGCAGGTGTCGGGTCGGTCAGCTGCCAAGGCATTGCAGTAGAGCGCAGTGGGGCTTGAAGGGGATGCGGGAGGACATGCTGGGTCCGAGAGGAGGGACAGGGAAGGGAGCCTCTTCATCATGGCAGATTGCCTGTCTGTGTGGTTCCCAGCGCCCATACATTGCTTTCTCCCTCGTCCCCATATCCCCTCGATTGGTTTTCCATCCCTGCCCATCAGGGTGTAATGGAGTCCCTGGGTGTCTGGATGGATGGAGGTGCGTCCACTACTGACAGCCCCTGCTGGAACGCCATTCAGTCCTCTCAAGGAGTCCTAAAACCTGGGTAATAGCCGTACACCACACTGGGGAAATGTGCCCCTGTTCAGGTGTGTCCTTCATCTTCCCCGTTGCATTTGTACAATTTCTCACTATCTTTTTCTCATTTCTGTCTCTTTCTGCCCTGCTCCTCTGCGCATCCCAGATTGTTTACTCTTTTTTTCCCCACTTGTCCCCTTTTCCCACACGCTCTTTCCTTCCTTTTCAGCACTGCAGACTGGTGCTACCCGACCCCTTTCACTTAGAAACCTGACACGCTTCAATAGGCTGTATCTGAGGCAGCAGGGGGCTTAGAAAGCAGCTTACACAAATTCACGCATATTCCCACACACACACACAGATACATTCTCACTTTGTCCTTTTCTGTCCCACTGGCCCGTTGGACCCTATTGCTACCAACGCCTGCATCTCTGGGGACTCACTTGGCTATGAGTCTTGATTCATCATCAAGTTTCACAGCATGCAGCCTTGACTCACACAAATATTTAATTAGACATCCTGATATATTTCCCAAAAAAACATATGGAAACATTTCATTAAGATGCAAGAATTCACTTAACCTGCATGATCGCTGTATTTTAAACATAGCTTTTAGCATTTAGCACTCATAAGGGAGCTGTTGGCTAAATGTAGCTTACAGCGAGGCTTTATCTATACATCATGCCTTAACACACTCCCCCCACGGTTACAGCAATATGATTAATTGGTTGTTAAACTGTGGCAGTCACTATCCTCCTCATGTGGTGGAGTGACAAAGTGTTGTGAATCAAGACTTGAGTTAAAACAGGGGTACTCCAAGCAGAGAAAATCAATCTCCACATTACTAACAGCAAGTTGTCTGCCACATCAAAGTCGCTTGCCAGACTTCTTATCTGCAACCAACAGCAAGTATCAGTCACTCTGCTGGTCGATTAATCCCAAAAATAAAAACAGAAAAATCTTTCCTACATGTGTCTTTGCAGGGCAGCGCTTCAAAGACTCTGAACCGAACAGCTGCATCACTTTCAGTGGAGCTCTGCAGCAAAACTCACACGTTTGCCATGCCAGCAGTCCTGGGTACTAATCTACAGTGAGTCAGCTGAATGCCAAGCTGGCACATTTTAATCACAAATAATGACTTTCTGATTTACTGTTATGGACAATGCCATTCTTTGTTTGGGTATGTGATGATTGTTAAAGCTGTGCTAATCAGTATCTTGCAATAACAATGGATCAAATGACTACGTGTAAAATGAAAAGGGTCTCTCGTAGTCACAAACAGAATATCATGAGCCCTGTAGTTCCTCTCAGTGTTGCTCAGCCAATGTGTCAGTGGTGTGTTCACTGCTTGTTTCAGCAGCCCAATCAATGCTGCTTACAGGTTCTGTCTGTCTGTAATTTCTGCATGCTCACAGTGCATTACTGGCATCATCTTTCCACCATCTGCAGTGACTGATTGAGCCATTCATCTTCAACATAATTGAGACAAGATGTCACAAAAATCCTTTTGTCTTACAGGGGTTATTCTTCAATTTCAAAGTAGATATTCAATCCATTCTGTGGCTTACAAATATTCCTACATGTATTATTCATTTATTTCAATAGTATTAGTGGAGAGAGCAGTAAAATTCAGGCAAGTTTTGCTGGTGTTCATCTATTAACAATTATTAGTAGCAATGTAAACAACTTGTAGATAGTAGTAAACAAGCTGTAATTCAAAATTAGATGGAAGTGTCTTTTAAAAGCATCTGCTCAGGGCAGTCGTACTATTGGTGTGGGAGTGAAACTAATTACATCTGAAAATTGTGAGGGGAGGAAAATCTCAG